AATGCTGGCTGGGGAATTCTGGGAGTTGAAGTCCACTCATCTTAAAGTGGCCAAGTTTGGACAACACTGGTGTAAAGAGATAATGAAGTGTATAGCAAATAGACCCCCATTCTGCTGCCTTTCTCTATTCCTGGGAACACACAAGGCTTATTGTGTGGAACAGGGTCAATGGCAGCTTATTTCATCAGCTTTATTATAAGTGCCACCCCCCCCCCCGCGCCAATGTCTCTACCATGCACTACAGTCCCCTAGGGTCCTGTAAAGCTGTGAGTATGACCTCTTTTCCTTTTCTTCTCTTCCCACCTAGCATCCTTTCCTCCAGGCGCTACTACTTTGAGCTCCTCCATAAGCAGGATGACCGTGGATCAGACCATGTGGAAGTGGGTGTAAGTAAATCCCTATGGATTATTTTCCCCTTCAGGTACAACAATCCATTAGGAAAATCAAATAGCTTTAAAAACAATATAAATAGCTCTGGCTGCCAGCTTTTTGGTTATTGACTCAAAATTTTGTCATTGAATACATATTGATATCCTACAGAAACTGTCCTAGCCCCAAAGGCATTTTTGGCAGAACATTAACTGGATTTTCATTAATGCAGGCTTTTGGAGTTACTAGTTGAAAAAAACCTGTCCATGTTTATCAGATCAATGTTTATCAGATAAGACAAGCATAAGGAAGTACTTTTACTTAGCCCCCTTAATCAGGTTTATAGTAAAACAGAGGATGAGGGAGAAAGAGATTAGTCCCATCTTCTCATGTTTGCAATGGAGACTGGGAATGTATTTTTCCTTCAAATTAATTGTAGTCTTCTCTGGGGGAAGAATGGAGAGAGTGAGAAAGAGTTCCTAGCTGGTAATTTCTTGAACACTTTTATCCTCAAGGTAAAATGTCTCAAACCTCCAAGAAACGTTAAAAGGGCCTCATTTTCATGCCTTTCAGTGGAACTGTGTTCCCTTTGCAGAAGGCTTCATTGAATCACAGGCTGCTGAAGTTGAAATATTGGTCTTTTTAAAAGAGGCTCCATTCATCCCACTTCTAAATTAAAAGGAAGAACAGCCCCTCGGTATAAATGCTCTTCCCTTGCAAGGACTGCCTGCCCCTACTGCAAAGTCCTTCTCAAAGGATCGTGGGTCATCCTGTCAGGTGTAACACCCAGAGAATAGGAAATAGGAGGAACGCTACATGGGATTATCCTTGGTTTAACATCATATATACCATCCTTTGGCTGCTCCAAGGGCTAAAAAGCAGCTGGGCATATAAAACTATTCTCCCTGCTCATCTGTGAGGTGGCTCGCCTGGGTCAATTTGATGAATGAACGGCATATGGCCCTGTCTAAAAGTAAGTATATAAAATAAACAGATAAACCTAGACACGTTAATGCTTTTGATACTTTTCCACAGTGTCCAAATGCTGGTCAGTTATTCCCAAGGTCCCCTCCCAGGATTAAGGGTAGCAACAAGAAATATTAAACCTATTACAACAGGAAAGGGAAGTAGCTTTTGGGGGGAAACTCAAAGTGATTGGCACTGCTTTGTGTTCAGACATTTCAAATGGAAGTATATGGCAAAGAGTGCAATACCTCTCAGCCCAACTATAGGAATATTGTCAGTGAGCCTAAATACCAGTTCCCTGAATAATCCAGGTTATATTTCTCACATAAATGGCATGTAAACATGTAAGAGGGCTCTTAGACATGTATTATTTTAAGGAATCCACTAGAGGAACATGCACTTTTGTTGAAATGAAATCTCTTTTAGCTCAGTGGAAAACATTGAATTTCATTTGCTTTGTTTAAAAAGGTGAACAAATGACATTGAAATCATGACATTGGAGGTGGCTCTCCTACCGCCTCCCCCATATTAATGTTCACTCTGCTGATTAGAAGACCGTATGCAGTATTTCCATTTTGAAATACAGAAGATGAGTTCATCTGACAGGCAGAAGATGTGAAGCAACTCCTTTTTAGTACATTTATAGGAACACTTAGCTTACATTCTTTGAAAGGAAATAATAGCACATTCAACAGAAGGATAAAGGATTTGACTGCAAATCAAAAAGCACTGAGACATCACCCAAATGATTGGTGAAAATAGTATTGCCTTTTTTTACAATGCCTGGATAGTTTTTCTCTAAAGAAACTTAAACTGTGGGGTAGGGAGAAGATCCATGATTGGCTCTGGAGCAGGATATTAGCTAAGATGTAGGTTTATGGCAACGCTCAAGGTTTGGTATTCTCACTTTAAGCAAAACAGATTCTATTCACAATACTACCTACTCAACCTTACCAGACCTTTATTAAAGAAGACCTTTCATTTCCAAATTATGCCCTCAGTACATCTTGAAGGAAGATTGCATAAAGCTCCTGAGGAATAGGGTTTTTTGCTTGTTTTCAGTGAAGAATTTTAGCCATAATATTTTCTGCTGTCCCTTTCATGATATGGTATCACAGGAGAAAAAAACTGGCAACTCCATGGGCTCTGAAGTGGAATGTATACATTTTTTTTGCTGGTGAATGTGTTCCCTTACATTAGTTACCAAGTGGCCACTTTTATGTCGTTGTTGCTTTAGGAGAAATAAATTCCAGTCATATTTCCTGGATTCCTGGAGTTTTAGAGTTGGCAATAGATAACTCTTAACTGCATTAATGTTGTAATTCTGGATAGATATCTATGTTTGGTATAATTTTATTCACATCTGATCATTTTTGCATTATATTTTATGAATTACGCTTGTGTGATATAACCTGTAGCTGCAACAGTAAACTTTATTACTTACAAATACAAATACATGCATATTGAATGATTTCTCTTGTTTCTTTCAGTGGCGAGTTTTCCTTCCCAGCTTCAAGTTTGAGGTCATTGATTCCCCCTACATCTCACTCTATACAGGTAAAGGTTCCCTGAAGCTCTAGAAACCCAGTTTCTCTTGCACGCTAATGAATAGGATTGCAGTGTTTGTGGTTAATGTGTACAGTATGCAAAAAAGTGAGGGCCATCTGTATGTATGGCCTAAAAGACCCTGCATTCTGAATTATTCTTGCATTGAACCCCTCTATGCCCATTTTGTGGTATAAAGCATCATTGTGATAGGTGAGAGGGTCATCTTTTCAGTATAATTAGTGTTAAGAAATGTGGATCAGCACAGTAGGATAAGAGAACTCCCAAAGAAGCACAAATAAGGATCCCTTTCTCAGAGAGTGCAGCTCTGCCTCTACCTCCCATCACACAATAGAGAAGGAGCCCTAAAAATTGTGAACTCTGTACAGCAGCTGTATAGCAGGATCATCTTCAAAGTTTGTTGCATTTATTATTTTTTAGGCATCAGGTAAAGCCTGTCCTATGTGCTCAAGCGTTATTGATTAAATGTTGTGTATTTTAAAAATTGCATTATATGTTTCGTTGCTTTCTGAAACTGCTAGTTAATTTGATTAATTTTGCTGTTTGCCGTATGTACTATTGCTTGATTTTGTTAGTTTATTTTTGCTGATTTCCTCACTGCCTCGGTGTTACGCTTTCTGGTCTTTTATCGTTTTAATTGTGTAACTGCTGTGTTTTTATTACTATTTCATAATGTTGCTCTTTATGGAATATGTAAATTGCAAGGGAGGCCTTTAAGGTAGAATAGAAATCTTCTAGATAATTTCATTGAATAAATTCTTCCAGAACCTTTTCCTTCATAGTCATTCTGTTCAAAGCTTTACCAGCTGCTTTTATTAATCCTGTAGAATTTTGGCTTTCCCATAAATTTTCTCTGCTGAGCTACCAGCTGGACTACGGCCTTTTTTCCATCCAGTCTCCTACAACTACATCCCTGAAAAGCCCTTGTGCAAGTCCACTCTAGAAAGGAGAAGAGTGGATCCAACTGGTTGGTTGTCCTTCCTACAAAAATGAGGTTCTACACATAGTTAGTTGGGACTAATTCCCATAGGGGCACTTACTATTGAATAAACAAAACTGGGGTGGAAATATGTTTTGCTTTTCCTTTTGTAAAGCAAAGGAGAAATATTAATTTGAAGGACATAAGTCATCTAAAGTTATTTAATTAACCTTGTGCTCGATCATTCTTCAATTTCTTTTGATAGCTTTGGCAGTAGTATCTTCTGAAGCTAGAAGAAAACAGCTGAACCACTGTTCCCTGTGTAGGGATTAAATTGAGGATTTCTCAGCTCAGAGGCTGAGAAGCCCAAGGCAAATGATTGTCAAACTGCAGGAAGGGCAGGAGAAAAGTGCTGGAATTAAACCACAGTGGGTATGATAAGAAATTGCACCTTCATGTTGATTGAAGGCAATCAACCGTTTTAATAGCTTTTTTCTAATATGCAATGGGGATTCATATCTAACCATGCCATGTCATGTGTCTGAGAGTCTTTAGCTGAGTCTGATTTGCATTAAGCTGTGTCAAATCAAGTGTCCAGAATCACTGCGGGTCTCCTGACAACAAGTCTGGCAACATGCTTATGGAGTGGTGGGTACGCTCCGTAAAATAGTTCCAGATGGATCAGGAATCTGAGCTATGAAAGACATTTAGTTACTGCCTTTCACAAATAAAAAAAGAAAGGCACTGTAAAACAGCATGAAGTTTTGATGCTTCACACACACACACAAAAAGCAAAAGTGTGTATGTGTAATATCTGTTGGGCAGCAATATATGTAGATACCTTCTAGGAGCATCAGCTGTGCTGCCCTTTCACTCTATATCTTCCTTGGTCCCTGAGCAAAAAGAGAAGACGCCAGCATGAAAGCCCTCCCCCCATCCCAGTAAATGTCCATCAGATGGTGCTCCCTAAGCTGAATTAAGAACAGCTGTCTTGTAAGCAAGGATGGATAGTGCAGGATTTAATTAAATCCATAGATCTTCCACTTCCTGCCTCATAACTTGATCTGGCAGCAGGAGGCGCTTGATGAATAGATTTCTGCCTGGCACTCAATATACAAGGTGTCTGTAATTAAGTATCCAGCAGAAGGCGTAGATAAAGCAGAGGGGTTCTGTAGAAGTACAGGGGCATGGTTGGCACACGAGGAATCATGGCAATTGGAGTATTGACAGAATGCCTGTAAGACAGATGGGCTCCGAGGGAATGTTTCCTCCTGGAGACATCAGTCACTGTGAATTTTTGCCTCTGTCCTCCGGTCTACAGCTAGCACCCCTTGAAAAGTGATTTTCTTGGTATCTCACTCTTTGCGTGAAACTCCTTCCTTTGCCAAGAGACAGATAATATACAGGAATAATTGCATTTGGAGACAGGGAGGAGAAGGGTAAAATTTTAACATTTAATATATTTTTAGCCGTTACACAGATGATCACTGGCAACACTTTTGCATTTGATCATTCTTCAGCTGCGTCCAGGGATGCCTAGGATAAGTTTGGTGTTGATGCATACTGTACAGGAGTTCATGCAATTCTCACTGCAGATTTTATTGTATTTGTATTCTGTTTTCCAAATACAACAAAATCTGCAGTTTAGGTTATGAAGCAGCTAGGGATAACAACAATAATAATACAATAATTAAGACCAATTGCAAAAATGGAATCAACAACTAATATTAAAATCAAGAAGCAGTTCACCAGTCAATAACTTCAAAGGCAGTTAGAACAAATAAGAGGTTAGATTTCCCAAAGCAGCCCATAATAAGGACGACTGTATCTCATCATTCTGTATTATTGGAGAAGTGCCCACCTGGTGAACTTTCCCAGCATATCCCATAGCATGGAGAAGGGCAAGACTCATGCTACCTAAGAATCAGAGTAGTAGCAATACAGTTCTTGAAGGACCAGTGTCATATCCTGCCTTTAGCTTGTCTTAGTTGAAAGACAAGTAGCAGTACCTGGAATACTTTTTGAGGAAGGGCAAATCTCCTGTTGAAAGTTTTCTCTGGAAATCCCCAAAGCATTTAATAACAATAGCTATATTTAATGATGTAATTTCGCTTCCACATACAAACAAGTGGATGAATATCATGGATGTTATCACAGACTTTCCTGCTATTCAGCATCTGTAATTACCTTCCTTGAGTTGTGGAATATGGCTACTGATGGCAGCAATTTCCCTCTCCCCTGCCCAGCCCTCAAGCTGCTCCTCTCTGGCTCTTTAGCCTTGCCTGCTTTTTCTTTTGCAGCATTACCTGCTTAATCTTCTTAGCCTGCCTATCTGCTTTCCCCAACAGGCTTTTTTTTTTTTAAACTTTGCCCCAAAAAAGGCAAAACGTTTTGAATTCTAGCACTCCAAGATTGTTTGCAAAGCTTCAGTCAAAAAGAGTCTGAACACTTTAGAAAGAAAACAGCAGTCAGCAGGCGTGTATGGAAAAATGCAGGACAACACAACAAGACTAGATGGTAGTTAACAGATATGTACCAGCTATTCAAGAGAATAGCTTGGGAATGTTGGTGAAGCAACTGAAGCATAGACTAAGGGAAGTGTGCTCTTGTCCTTCCCATGTTGTGCTTTCCCTAACACGTCACAGCATCTTTAGCGTGAATGGAGGGAAGGTCTTTAAACAGCTGCCCCCTTTTGCCAGAGTCTGCCTCACTGGAGCACCAAATACACTAAATGTCAAGCCACGCTTTGACCTAGTGGGCTAGATCAGAGCTGCACTAGTCTGGTCTGGTGGTTGCGACAAACTACCCTAGATGTCAATGGTTCCACCACTGTTGAATAGCTTCCTCACAGCTGGAGCAGAATAGCGCCTCCTTCATTTTAATTTTTTATTGCAGAAGTGAAAATATTCTGAGCAACTCCCAGATCTAGCCCATCTCTCTAAAAAACAAACAGACCCATTATTACATTTCCCTATTAAAAATGCATATATATAGCCAACCTAAAACTTATGGGTAATAATGATAATATGTAGAATACATTAAAGCATTATCCTCATATTTCTATTTATATTTTATACAGCTAAACAAATATATAATCCTCTTAAAACAAATTAATTGTCATGACACAAAGCCAGAGAAAAGTGTCCTTTTATCAAGCCCAAGCAGCTAGGCAAGATCAAGGAAGCAAGAACTGTACAGATTTCAGTAAGGTATCTTTAATGATAGTCTGGAGTAATACAGAATGTTGGAAATTGTAAGAAGAATGTCCTACCTCCATCTATAGTCTCTTTATTGAGGCAGAATCTCTTTACGTTATTTGAAACGCTTCTTCCAAAAATTCATGTCACCTGGGCTAAGTTGCGATTTATGAGATAAGGTGCCAATGGACTTGTCTTCTATCTTTTGACTGTTAATGTCTACTCTCTTTTATATTTCTTTCCCAGCCTCCCCACAATTTCTCACATCTGTCTTGTATTTTATATTGTGATTGACATTTCTGGCCAATCTTCTTGCCTGCTCTGAAATCTAACAACACATATTGTGATTTTTCCAGCTGTAAGTTAATGCAAGCTGTTTTGTCTTAGATGCATGATTGAAAGTAAGTTAAACATTATTAATATGCTTGTTTTTTGTCTGACCCAAACATGCAGCTGATTACTTCTGTCTTGAATTTCCATCTTCTCAAGGTTCCTTCCTGTCCTGCTGGGTTGGGAGGTGTCCCCACATGGAATTAGAACTGAGAAAGCCACAGTGCTCAGTTGACACAGGAATCTGGCCAGCAGGTTTCCTCCCATTTTTCTGCAGCTGTAGCGGTTTCTTAGTATTGACATGGATGAAAACCCTTGCTGTCAGTGCGCTAAATAGATGTGGCCATAACATCCATAAGGCATCTTTTATAAATAAGAGTGAAGTGACCTTTACTTTTCAGTGCTTTGAAACACAAGGGCTTTGCTCTTCGGTGATAGCATTGAAATTCTCAACGTGCCCTTTCCTTTTGTGTCATTAACAGCTTGTGATATTGTATATCAGTTTAGGTCACTGCCCCAAAGGGGCAAATTAAATTTATATTTGT